GCCGATATACAAACTGCGCTCACGATCCTGTTCTACGAGCCCGAGGTCGCGCGGACAGCGCGCAAGACTTTGAAAGTGTTTTGGATAAGCACCAAAAATCCAAAAATGAACCGAAAGGAAGAGTGCATTGCGATAACCAACGAACTCGCGCCATATCAGTCCCTTTGTGGGTTTCATTACGAGGTCAGATCGCCTGAGCACTATGAAAGGAGGGAGAGGTATAATATTGCATAATGGATGGTCTTCTATACCTCCAACTCGTGCTTCTCTAAGGTGAGTGTGGCTACGTGTAACTCTGGTCAGATCTTGGCTCGTATTTTCCAATTGAACATTCTCTTGAGTCGTGACGTTGGCATCTGAATGGATGGTTTATTAATGTGTTCGACTTTCTAGGCTTTGACGAGGCGATAAGGCCGAAACGTTGGCCGAATAAAGAAGTTTTATCATCTTGGTGTAAGTCAGCATAACAAAAAAGAGTTATCATTATCATGCCAAGATTACTAAACAGTCGGACTTGGAAGACTTTACGAGTTGTTATAATTTTAAATTTCGAATATTTGAATTCGAATTTTAAGTTTAAGTGGTCGAATAATTATTCGATTCGATCCAATGTATACTGACAGCATGCAAAGCATGTAGTGCGTTTCTTTATCAACACGCAACGCCTTCAAAAAACAATGTGCAAGTTAGTGCATGGAACACTTCTGCGACTGACAAAATTAGGATAGACTTCAAGAGTGAAAGAAACGGAAATGTAAACAATAGTCTATATATGGCTCAAAGACAGCATATGTGATGTTAGTTTTGATGTTGAGGAACTTTAGATGAAATTTTTCTCATTCCGCGTCTCTTCATATTACTTAAAACGCGCCATCTATCAAGATCCTTTGGAACATTTTATCAAAGAAAATGGATAAATCTATGTTTAGTAATCTGTCTGTGGACGAGTTTCAATCCATTCCTTGAGTGCAGGATTTGAGCGGACTTTTTCGGCATGAGCCTTGATCTAAAATAGAACGAAATATAAGAGCAAATAGTTTAGGAAGCTCACAGTAATGCTATTGCTAATTAGGCTTTACTGCTTATCTCTGGGAATCCATTGCAGAGTGAGGGAATTATTTTGAGGAATTCAGCAGTAAACTCAGCGAGAAGAAGGTCGGCAACAGTTATTGAATTGCCAACCAGATAACCTTAAAAGGGGTGAAGAAAGCCCATATGATTTCAACACTTTCATCAAATAAAGTACACGCCTGTATTGTTCTTTTTGAGAAAATTTGTCATGAAAGGAAAGAACTTGTCACGAGCAGGGAGAACCACATCCCTTGAGATTTGGTCCTTTAAACGAAGTAACATAATTATTAGCAGCAAGTAATCTCGATTAATTACCAAAACCAACTATTTTCAATTTCTCCAAAGAGTTTTGAAAGTATGCCGTGTACAAGCACCAATATTTGCTCAGTATGACTTTTTGCTCTTCCATATTCGCACAAACACTAACTGTGATAATTGTCACATTCTTTGAACGACTTTGAACGAAGAGTTACAGGATTTTTAGGTGACGCTTGATGTCGACATGGGCACTTGAGCACTTCAGCGCTATTTCTCTGTTTTCTTTATAACAGATTAATTCTACCTTGTGATACACTTTTTCTCGCTTTTACTCACAACATCTCCTTGTTCAACTCCTCCAAGGACCCTGAATATTAAACGAATTTCGTTTAAGAAATCCTTGTACTGATCCATAATCGAATCAACGAGCGCCTCTTCAAATGGGCACTTGGGCGCGAGCCCTAAAAAAACCAGGCTTATTGTTTGCACCAAGGATCACACATATAAGTTGAAACGCACCAAACTTTTTCGCGAGATAACGAGCAATAGCATGGGACTGTGCGAGTTGTTGACCATCAACCTCAAGTACTGGCAACTGACCGAATGGCATCTCTAAAACAAAATCGAGTAAAGCAATTCTGGTAATCTTCAGCCGCAAAGGCTACTACCTGACTTGTGCTCCGGCCACTCATCAAAACTGTAGCGAACATCCTCGAATTTCTCGTCGGCAAGGACAAAAATCTGAGTGACAAAATAGCTTATTAGA